TGCACGACCGTAAGAGGTACAATACAATTTGGACAACGAGGAGGAGGAGGGCAGCGCTCCATTAAGTGCCTGCGAGTTAAGTGGGTCTGGCCAATACTTGCTAGAGCCGTTTCCCACCGTCGGTTACGGTGATAGGAGGAAGGCCATGGAGAGACAGCACTTGAGAGCACGCAGCGTGTTAAGAGTAACAGAAGACCCTGCCAATGGGCAAGGATTGATGAATGAATAACTGGATAGAAGTCTGAATAAGAAGTACGTTTACGGAAGATGTGACAGGAGCGGACAGCTTCCTTAACCGCAGTGTCCGCACGCTCCTTTAAGGAAACCACCAATATGGCTGGGATCCCAGCAAAACTCTGCTGGAGACAAAGTCGATATTGAATTTTGATGACTGCAGAATTAAATGACTCCAGAGCTATGAGAGCACTGCTTGAGTAGATTACAACAACAAAGGAAGAATTACACTGAGAAAGCGGTTGAAGAAGAGCAGACAAAATTGCATAAAGTTCAGCCATGAAGATGCTAGTCTCTGGAGGAAGGCGAGACACACACAGTTTCATGACTGCACCCGAGTAGCCTACACTGTCAGCAGACCTAGACCCATCTGTGACGACGGAGATGGAGCGGGAGTATGAAGAAAAGTGAGCAAGGAAAAGGCGTTTCAGAACTGTAGGAGAGGTAATGACCTGCATGACTAAAGCTAAGGTTATACAAAACCTAGGAAGAGGGACCCTCCATGAGGGCAAGGACTGACACTGAGAAACATTGGCGACACGAACCGAGAGAGAACCTTGCAAGTGAGACAACCGTACAGAAAGGGAACAGGGCCCACAGGAAGGGTAGTAGTCAAAGTACGACATAAGCAAGAGAGTTTTAAAGGGACCACACAAAGTAGCGAGGACAATAGCAATCACTGCGATCCTGTAGAGACTGGATGCCTGTCATCATACAAACTCTGGATAGGGCCAAACGAAAGGCACCACTTGCTCTCCGAAACAAAAGAAACGGGCGTCCTACGACGACAGTTTCTTCCAGGCTGCACGCTTACAGCACACAGCCCGAAAACAGTCTACATTCCACCAGGGAATGAACTTTCGCACGCCCGAGGGTAGAGCGAGGAACAGAGCGGAGGGCAGGTTAAAAACTGTCATGAAAGAGGAGGGCTCTGGGAAGAGGCAGATCAGAGAAGTCGGAAAGTAGCACACAAGGTAAAAAGGTTCTAGTCAGCCCTGGTAAACTGCCACCTTAGGGTACAAGAGGAGGGCAAAAAGAGATGACAAGGATGGGGGAAAAGTTCACTTATGTAGGTCATCAAAAACCCACCAGGAAAAGTCCAAATAAAGAGAAGATAAGCAGAGAGAAAGATCAAGACAGGAAAGGGTGTGAGTGCGGGAGTCAACATGAGTGGGCTCACCAGAATTCAGAAAAGACAGAAGAAAACAAAAGGGTCAAGGCAGCAGCCCCTGGTGTATGTCGGAACATCTCCCCAGAGGGTAATGCCAACAGTTAAATTCACCCAAAAGGAGCACAGTCTCTGGTAAGATGTCCAACAGGTGTTTAAGATCAAGAAAAAGTGGGACATCCGGGGGAGAGAGAAATGGAACAAACTGTATACCATTTACTCACAAATATATGGGCCACAGAACACCGAATGGCCGGCTGAAAAAGTAGGGATGAAGGAAATATCAAGAAGTATCAAGAGAGCAACAGGAACATGGGCCCCAGCAAGAGCTGCAGGGGGAAGAGAAAGGAATAACCACGTAAGTAGCCAGGATGAGCGCCAAGCATCAGGTTCTGGAGAGAGACAAAGCAGGGAAACTGTGTGATCACAAGTTGGAGTTCATAGAGGTTGGCATAAAAACCACGAATATTCCATTGAAGAACAGAGATAACAAGGGAGAAACAAAGTAGAACACAGCAGACTAAGGAAGAACAAGATCAGGATCAGTGAAATCAAGGTGACGGGGGCAGAGGTAAAGCCAGCAAAGATGTCAGACAAGGGAGCGGGAGGATAGACCAGAGGCAAATGGACAGAGTCCAGAGGAGGAGGCGGCTACGGAGATGGGCGGTCAAGGGAATTGGAGGCAGGAAGGACAAACAGGTGAGGGCACTGGAATAAGGGCAGCATCCAAGAGGACCAAGGGTCAAGGAAACATCCATAGGAGCAACACAAGACCCCGCCACTGAAAAAGGAAGCTGGGATAGTGTCCGAGTCAGAAAGTGAGGACCACATCGAAGCCTTACCAGATGGGGGAGGCAGGAGAGGAACCAGGCTTATGCTTCTGATGGAGAGAGGGGCATACCATCAGCATATACTTGGTGACCGCTTCTACAGTTTCAACTGGAGAAAACAGGAACGGGCAACATGAACGCTGGGGAGGAGGATGGACAATGGCCTGAACAGACAGGCAGTGAGGAGGATCAAGAGACAGGGGAGAGGGCACAGGAGACGAGGAAGACCAAGAAGGAAGGAAACACCAGACAGGCCCGGGAGGACCCTCTGGCCCAGAACACAAAGGACCAGACGAGGGGGTGTCGGGGGTCCAAAGCCTCAAGACTGTTGCAAAACCGAGAGAAGGGGAACGCGACACTAGCATTAGACGTGCCAGAGAGGTTAGACAGCAAACCTAACACCTACCCTCAGGAAAAGGCAAATATTTACGATTCTTCAAATTAAGGATGGCTTCCTCAAATTTGTAATGGACGGGAGAAGGCAAGGTGGGCGTCACCACAATGATGCAGAGTTTGGGAAGCACACTCCATCTTTGAATCACCCGAGGTTCCACACAAGGGGCAGAGACTTCACTTGTGCACCTTAAAGGACCATTCCCAAATCTCCAGCACCTGCTGCAGAGACAAGGAGAAGGAATGTACTCCTGAACGGAGCATCTGGCACCAGCAGGACTGAAGCGGGGTGGGACGTGCCATCAAAATCGTGACCTTCACAACGCGAAGAGGCTGATGGCAACGACCACGAGGGTGTCAGGGGGTCGAGTGAAGGTATCCACGTGGAGGACAGGATGGTCTTGGGCCTCAAGGATATAATTAACATCCTCGTGGCTATCCAAGTTCCTGGTCACCAATTTGAACATGGTGCAGAAGAATTTTGCCAATACAGGCATTCAACTGGGCATTTTTGGAGATCCGGACAGGAGTCTCCCCGACGCAAGACAACGAAGCCAAGCTGGCAGCCACATCCTGAGGAGTTAGGGCAACACGGGGTACCAGTCTGGGTGGGGTTAAAAGGTGACCAACATTCACCGAATCAACACGGTGCTTTTGGCGAAGTAAATCAGGACGAGAAGGGTTACATGACCAAGATCAAAAACAATCAAAGCCAAACAAAGCCTGGAAAGGAGATCGAAGGAATCAAGTGTGAGCGAGTGCAGAGGTGACGACGCGGAGCACCCAAAGTAAGAGGGGGTAAAGGCGCAGTTGTGACAACTGGAGACAGAGCCACACCAGGTGATAAAGTCATCACCACTGGGAGCTTAACCCCACCACAGACGTGTGAGGGGATCAGAGAGAGAGAGAGAGAGAGAGAGAGAGAGAGAGAGAGAGAGAGAGAGAGAGAGAGAGGCAGTCAGGAGAGTCCGAGAAGGAACACTGTCTGGGCCTAATATAGCGAGGTCTACAGAGCCCGGTCTTCCAACAGTAACTCGAGGGCCTGGTCACCCACGAGTCTGGGAAGTGGTAGAAAAAACGAGCCAGTCATCGGCATAATAACGAGCGGGTAAGAATTTCCTTCACCAATAAGCCCCTATACCCACCAGGGAGCTACAATTACAGTATAGGACACCCGACAAAACAGGCCTCCCATCCTCACACGGGAGCATCGCGAGTATACGCCCCGCCATCGCCACCTTATGAACCGCCAGTCTGTCAAGATCGGGGTCAGCAACAAAGGTTGACAATAAAAGCATTTCCTTGCTCGCGACGTCGGGTACCACAGCTCTACAGGCGAGAGTGCGCCTCCTCCACCACCGTGGTGTCAAACCAAAGATGTCCAAAAGAATAATCAAGAATGGCAAAAAGTCAGCAGGAAATTAGAATTAGAAAGAAGACGAGGAGAGGAGTAAAGTCAAAGATAAGGAAGAGGAAATAGCTTCAGCAAAATTAGTGAAGATGACAGCAGGAGGAGGACTTCCAAAGGACAGAAGACTGTCCCATGGAGCGTGACACTTGGGCAGCCGCCGACCAAGCTCCCTCACCACGACAACGGGCTGGAAAGGGACCACAGAGTAAAGACTAAACTAGCCACAATACAGGTCTGAACACTCTTAGGGCTTTAAACCAGTGATACTTTAACCCTAAGCGCTCGCTTTGCAAGCACTTAGACTTTGGTTTGTATCCTGATCAGGGAGGATTGACCGGGTGCCAAGCCTTAACTGTAGCCTCTGTTCGCCCAGCAGTGAATGGTTACCTGGTTGTATTCCAGGGAAAATTAGCATTAAGGACCTGTTCGAAATTTTATGCGTGCTTGTTTAACAAGCATGCAAGAACTTTCATATAAATAAATTAATAAAATAACCTATTGACTTGCCTGCCCTCCAGAGTATTAAATGCTGAAGCAGTGCTATAATTTAAATACATCTATAAAGATTCTCTACTCTTTAGTGAAAGAGGGGGGGGGGTGAAGGAACGAATTATCAGGGGAAAGCACCAAGCCATGATGACTATATAGCACATGGAAAGTGTCAGGATAAGGACTTGGGATGGGACTGGGGGAAGGAATGGTGCCCAACCACTTGAACGGTCGGGAATTGAACGCCGACCTGCATCAAGGAAGACCGTAGCTCAACTGTCCAGTAGAAGCCTCTGAAGTCGCCGGCTTCCTGTCCTTGTCGAGGCAGGGAGGGAAACTAATAGATACATTAGACCGTTTAGCATGTTAGAAAGCTTGTTTTCAGGTAAATAAAAATAAAAGTTTATTTGATGCAATTTATTTATCCCAGCTACACATTTAGGAATTATCAAAATACTCAAATTAAAATTACAGGACTAATGCCTGTCTGTACTTAAGCCGGTAACTGCTGTTAACATACCACTGCGGTAGTTTGTGAAGGTGGTTCTATGGGTGTTAATATTACTGAGTACCACCATAGCTGTACACTTCAATAACCATTAACACAGAAGTAACAGTAAATTACATCACCCAAGCACAAGTGTTTGGTACTTACACCTGGGTGGCCGTGGTGGTGGTGTAGGTGTACTGGCTAATGACGTGTGGCCGAAGGTCACAGCTTAGTGACGTCTGTCACGATCCTGAAGTCAGACTTTACTTCAGTTAACGTCAGGGATGAGGGCCGGACAAAGACTTACATAGAACGATCCGGTCATCAATGGGAGCCTGTAGCACCTGTGTGGTAAAGGTAGAAATATATAGCGACATATATATTTCTGCGTATTATGATCTTAATATGACAGTGTCACCGTAGACTTACCGAGCGTGTGCCAACGGTGACAGTCTGCTCTCGGAAGGATATTAGGATGACTGTCACGCTGTTGAAGGTCTGGGCGGTGACAGTGATTCAACTGTCGATGACGACTTGGACGACATTGGGGAGTTGAAAGACATCGTCCACCTCCAGACATGAGAGGCCAACAGGTCTGACAGGTCCAGCAGGTCCAGTGCTACCCACGGGATGGTCCCATGGCCCAACCTGCCACAGTCCATTATAGTATCTGGACCACTGAATACTTGGTCAGGACCTGGACCACCAAGAACACCCTGGCCAGTGGATGCACCAGGTGCTAATTCACCGCGAAAGCCTTGGGGGTAAGAAACTTCCAGGAACAATGTTTCATCGGCGCTGCCCAGAGCTTAAGCGTCGGGCCACTGCCAGGACCTTTCAGGCGTCGCTACTACAGCGTGTAGTGTTTAATTCAGGTAGTGGGCGACCCGCATCTCTGAAAACTGTTGCCAAGAGCAACCGACACATCCAAGTTCTGAAGACCAGGAGCCTGCAAGACAAATTTAGTTTAACTCTTTTTAGACATTAAAATCCTTAATACATTTTAGCCAATATGTATCTACTTCAAAATATAAGATATAGCAATATTGTCAGATTTGAACTAATATCTAAGGACTGGATGCCAAAACCCATACCTGCAGAAACTGTCAAGTCTTAGCAGCCCGTGGAACACCAAGGTCATTAATAAAGACCTTAGGAACTGCATCTGCAATAATTAAAGATTAAAACCTTTGTATAGCCTGTCATACTAATAAGTATGCACAATTAGAAATACAAGATCTAACGAAATAATATTTAAAAACAAGTATTAGTGACTAAGATTCTATTAATATGAAATTAACATTGAGCATTACAGAGAAATTTTACAAATTTACTTTATGTAAATTTAGAAGCTCGTGAAGTTGGACAGATACAGCCATTAAATTATTAGTAACGAGGCTAGTACAGTTTTGGGTACAAAACAGTTACCAAATTATGGTTATAATTATACAAGTTTACGTTCGATATTTCAATATAATACCAAGTTCCAGGGAGAGAGAACTTTTAGTTACACAAAGATGTCTTTAAATGTTAAGTGTTTGATATGTGCAAACTACCCGGTTTCCGGCACGTTAAAGTTTATCAGGTTTGTGACCCTTGAAAAAAAATTAATGTTAAAGATATTTAGTAATTGGTACATTGTTATAGGAAATGTTATTTCTAATTGATTAAATGTATTAGTCATGATATTAGTCTTAAGAATTAAAGGGTAAAGAATTAAAGAATTAAGAATTAAATGAATTCCTCATTTCACATGAGGAAGTCAATGCATGTTTATTTAAAACTAGCACTTTTTTACCCCCTCCCCCACACAATTTTTGATTAATATGATTAAAACTTTCAAGACAGACTCTTTAGCAAGCGAAAGTAAACCTTAAGTAAAGTCATTTTGCGTTCATGTCATTATCGCCCTTCCATTTTAAGAAATTAACGTCCTCCCACCGAAATACTCATGGGGGTCTAATTGTTCTACATAATTATAATTTTTTCTTGCACAAATATTTAAAAAACGTCTTAAAGCAACGTTTGAGACTTGAAACTGTCAACCTTGGAACAAAGAAGTTATCAATAAAACTTATAATACATGTTGGCACCAAACAAGGTTTAATCTGACGGGTTGTTAAAGAAATGATTCACATCGCTATGTAGGCATTATCGCCCCCCCTCCCCCATATGACGAAATTAAGTTTTTACACCTGAAAAGTATTTTTTCCATAACACTTTAATTGGTAGTTTAACTAAACCTAATATCAAGCTAAACAAAATATTACCCATTAGCAAGTTAACCTCGACACCAATAGCTAATATCCAATGGGTCTCGTTGCTAACTTAAATCACCATAACGGTTAACAATTTTAACCACAACGGCTCTTAAGCACCTACCCAGATCTAAAACTACGACTAGCACTTTAAACCAACATTAACACACACATTACCGTAATATATAAAGACGAGGACAGACGACGTTGCTCCAGTGAAGGTAAGGAGGAGAGTGAAGAGCTAGGCCCCACCTGCCCGCCTCAACACCTCCCTCACACCCTCATGGTCGCTGCCTCTCATAATACACCCCTTCTTTACCCCAGTATTTACACACTCACTCGTAATCCTCTAATAACCTTTATTTCCCTAAAGTTAACGTCGTATTAGTAGTTAATATATTTATTGTGGCCCAACAGAACCTAACTGCCGGTGAGAACGAGGCAAAGTGACCATTATGGACCCGTAAGTGACACTCAGTGGCTTAGCACAGTCTTCCCACACACGCCCCAACACCCAGTGGGACAGGTGGTCCTTGGGTCGTTTAGTGGTTCCCTCCGCCTCAAGTTCTTATTCTGTCAGTAAATAATCTTACGTGTATCTGGACGGGGCCGCTTGGGGGAACTGTGAAGCTAGTCACTGAAAGCTAAATAAAATTAGACATGTACAACTTGTCAAAAGAGACAACCTAAAGTTACCATAGATAAAACTACAAAATATAGACTTGCACCGAAAAAAATACATTGTCATTTTTATAGCGGGATTAGGAAAAAATGTAACTTTCAAATCTAATTTTTCCAATACCACATCTAAGTAATTATCAAAAGGTGTCGAGCTTTGAACACCATGTAGACTGTACCTCTGGATAGTCAAAAGGCACAAATTATCACTTAGGACGACAATACGAGAGCAACACTAAAATGCGAGAGCTATCAAAGGTAATGGATATACGGAAAATTCTACCTAGGAAAAAAACCATCCCAGAGGAATATTATGAAAGTAAGATGTACGACCATCAAAGACTAGACAACTTAACAAGGACGTGGGCGACTGAAAGAAAACGCAATTCGGCCATTAAGGAGCAGGGCGTTCCATTGGGTGTCCATGAGTTAAGATTGTGTGGATACACCCTAGCCAGAGATAGTTTGTGTGATGTTTTCCACCATCTGTTATAGCAGGAGGAAAACAAGTAACGAGGTCAACTTTCAATGAGCAGCTTGTTGCCTGCAATACCAGATTAACGGTCAATGGTCTCTGGAATGTGGAATGTGTAACTGAATAGAAATCTAAATAAGAAATCCCTTTTCAGTTAATGTGGCAAGTACGACTGGCTTCCTTAACGGTATGGTTCACTTGTTCATCTGAGGTATCTCAATATAACTGGGTACCCAGCAAGTCTTAAATATGCTTAAGATGAGAAACGGCCTTTACTCGATTTCTCCCATCACAGGATGCAAAGGCATAGAAGACGCCAGAGCCATGAGGGCACTGCGAGGATCAACCACTGACAAATTAGCAATGGAGAGAAAAAAAAAAGCCGATAAAGATGACTAAAATGCATGAAGCACTGCCGTGAAGAGGCCAGTCTCTGGGGGCAAGCGGCACATAGGTTTGATCAGGAAAATCAACGTAGTCAACACTCAACGAAGACCCACCTGTGAATAGAGCAATGAGTGCAAATGAGGAAAAAATGATCAAGGAAAAGAGTTTCGTAAATGCAGGAGGGGTAGAAGCATTCACCTCATGGGTCAGGGCTGGCAAAATTTCACAAGCAGGACCCCTAGCTCTATGGGGGCCAACATGCAGAAGGAACACGAGGAGAAAGATTACAAACATGTACCGAGAGAAAACCATGCAAACTGGCCATCCTCACAGGAAGAGATAAGTGGTGAGAAGAGACAAGGCTCTCCTGAGGGGCAGCAGTAATCAAATCGTGCTCAAGCGTGGGTGAAGGTGTTGTAGGGACCGTGCTACGTAGCTTAAGTAATAGAATCACGATACTGTAGAGACGGAACGCCGATTTTAACATAAAAGCTCTGGTTACGGGACGAAAAAGCAGAGCCGAGCCTTCACCCAGAATCATGTAGTATTGGGACGAAGGTTTGAGGAAAAGCCAGAAGTAAATTATAAAAAAAGGAAACCGGATAGAATATGCAGCACCACCAAGTGTACAGTACTCAGAGGGCGCTAAATATCACCAAGGTTGCCAATACAAGAACAAACGCAAGAGGTGAACGATATCAAAAGTATCCGATTCGCCAAGAATTCTACAGAGGGACAATCGACCGCGAGGGACGGTCGGAAAGCAAGACACTCTTCCTGGAAGTCAGAACATTCAGCAAGGATGTGCACGACCGTAAGAGGCACTACGAGAGTCAACTACAGAGGAAGACCGACAACGAGGAAGCAGTAGAGAATAGCATAAAGTTCCACTGTGAAGATTCTAGTCTCCGGAGGTAAGCGACACCAAGTGCAATTAGGAAAAAACAACAGTAGCCTAAACCATCCGTAGACTTAAGACCCATTGGCAAAGACGGAAACGGAGCGGGAGTGAGAAGAAAAGTGCTCAAGGAAAAGGCGTTTCAGAACCGTAGGAGGGGTAAAAGCTTTAGTGATACGGGTCTAGGAAGTACAAAACCGCGGAAGAGGGACCCTTCACGGGGAGCAAAGAAGGAACACTAGGAGAAACATTAGAAATACGAACGGAAAGAGAATCCTGGAGGCGAGATAACCGGACAGAGAGGGAGGTGGTGAAGAGGAACAGGAACCGCAGGAGGGGTAAAAGTTAAAGCACGACAGAGGCGAGAGGAAGGATGTTGTAAGGACCGCGCAAAATAGTGAAGACAGTAGCGATCACGGCGGTCCTGGAGAGACAGGAAGCCAGTGTCAACATACAAGCTAAGGACGGGAGTCGAGCGAAAGGCACCAGAACCGAGGCGCAACCCAGCACGATGCAAAGCATCAAGACTGCGAGAGTAGAAGGACTAGCGGACGAGTAAGCAGGGCCTACCTCCCATAACCTTCCATGCCAGTGATCTTCCAGGATCACAGCTTGCCTACTCGTTCCATGGAATTTTAGACATTTTGTATACGGAGGTACATAACTTTATTGGTCCAGGAACATTGTGGGCAAGCAGCTTTAGGTAGAAGAGTGTCTAAGGTAAACTAAGCTCTGTCGGGTTTCATTTGACGAGGGGTCTCTAATGGCCAGGTTCATTACCTAGTGTAATTCCTGGGAAACTTTAATGGAATCAAATGTTTTTAAGGAATCTGATACGGCTGGAAACCCGTTTTGTAGCAGCACAACCCTGCACTCTTGGGAATTGCCACGGAGTAACGCCTGTTTCCCCAGACACGAGTTTGTGTGTGCGCGTGTCAGTGTTTGTGGATCATGAAATATCTTTAGTACCCTAGTAGACTATCACAAAAAAACTGACCAGGTAGAACTACGCAGTATCTTGGGCGAGTGTGTTTTAGAGGTGAAAGTAAGTACCATAATTTGACCTACGTAAATGCATTCCGAGCACACGTGCATTTAGCATAACCTCCAGTGGAAGGAGAATAGAGCAAGTTGCCCAAGCGTTTAACTACCTTCTCCAATGCATCTTTACACAGTACGGCAGTGTTGCTTGGTTCAGAATGAAGTAAAATTATGTGTTCACATCTTCAGGTTCTAATGCAAGATTGCCGACAAGAAAGTTAAATTATGTACATCTTTCCTAGGGTCTAAACTAAAGGCATAGATACTCCCATGTATGACACCTTGCATCCAATGATAAAGCATTAGCCAATCTCTTTGCGAAAATAATGGCTGTACTGCCCCAACTCTATGGCCTAGTCTGGGGGCTAAAGTAATACGGAAGATCACCCTGGTGTATAGCAATATAACTTCGTATTACAAGTGCCACCTCATCGGTGGTGTTCAGCATTTTAAACCCATCATGCTAGCAGTGTTATCTGCTCTAGTGATTATTTACCAGGTTATCTTAATAGCCTAAGATTATTACATAGTTTGAGCCGTGAAGCATTGCCTATAGTGTTTGAGGGCCATCATTATGAACAGGTAGTAGGAAGGCATGAATTGCAGAGACTTCAATCAGGGTCAAAACTCCCGAGGCTTAGTTTGGAATCCCAAGAATTCTGGCTTTAATCAAAGTTATGGTCAGCAGATGGCAGAGGCACTTATTTGGCAAAGACTAGGCAGTTATACTTTGTTTACATGGGTTGTATTATAAATTTGTTTAAGTTCCACCCGAGTAATTTAAGAGAACATTAAACTTCTAAAATTTATTTTACTAACCACCACAAATTCCAATACAAAACCCGACGCATGTCATTACTTATCGAGGACGGTAGCCGTAGCCGCTGTTAACGTACACAGTGTCCGTCACTGTCCGGTAGTTGGTGAAGGCAGTGCTCTTCGTGTTAATATTCGTGTGTACCACCGTCGCCGTGTACGTCAACCTGAAATAAAAACAAGAGATTCAGCACCACAAAATAACAGTTAATTACATCACCTAAGCACAAGTGTGTAGTACTTACACCTGGGTGGCCGTGGTGGTGTAGGTGTACTGGTTGATAACGTATGACGTGTGGCCGAGGGTCACGTAGCTTAGCGACGTCTCGGTCACTATCCTGAAGTCAGACTTCACTTCCGTTAACGTTACTGACGTTGGCCGGACATACACAGACGTCTGGAGAGCGACCCGGTCATCAACAGGCGTCTGTAGCACCTGTATTGTAGAGGTAAAAAAATTATTTGTAGCAGATGTGCGCGTTATGATTTTAATATTACAACAGTGTCACCGTAAACTTACCGAGCGTGTTCCGACGGTGACAGTCTGCACACTGAAGGAAGTTAGGGTTACCGCCACGCTGTTGAACGCTTGGTCGGTGACAGTAACGCAACGGTCGATGGTGACAACTTGGGTGACAGTGGGGTGGAAGACATCGTCCACCCTCCTGACCTGAGGGAGGCCAACAGGTCTGACAACACTTCCAGAAGATCCAGTGTTGCCTACTGCTACCAGAGGCACGTTCACCTGGGCCAACCTGCCACCGCTGAATATGGTAGCTGGACCACTGCCGACAAGAGGACCCGGACCGCCGAGGACACCGTGGCCGACAAGAGGACCCGGACCACCGAGGACACCCTGGCCAACAAGAGGACCCGGACCACCAAGGACACCCTGGCCAACAAGAGGACCCGGACCACCGAGGACACCCTGGCCAACAAGAGGACCTGGACCACCGAGGACACCCTGGCCGACAAGAGGACCTATATCACTGCGAAAGTCTTGAGGAAAGGAACTCCCAGCAGGAAGACTTCCTCTGTGCTGGCCTGCGTCAGGCACGAGGCCGCTGCCAGGGGCCTGGAGGATAAAGGCGTCATTAGCTGCGCTTGTTTGAGCGCTACTCTGCTGGTTCCCGATTGTTGCGCTTAACAGAGGACGTGGGCGACCAGTGTCCCTGGGAATATTGTGGCTAAAAGCAGCGGATGTACCGAAGTCCTGACGTAGAGCTGGAGCCTGCAATGTTAAAATATAAAATTATGCCGATATTTGTGGCAAGTGGCTAGATATGTACGGTAATTCAGGCATTTAATAACAATACTATACTTTTAAAATAATTTACGGCATAAAGTATCTCACGACACACCTGCAAGGGTAGATATTGGCAGGTCACACCAGCCACGTAGAAGACCACGGTTAACGTAGAATACAGCATCTAATTTAGTAGAGATTACAAATTAAACTTAAATCTAGACCAATATGCGAGAGCTTCAAAATATGCAAAATGGTTGCATCATGTCTATCTTTGAAGAACTAAAGACTTTAGATCCTGTGGATTGCTGAACTATACAACAAATATATTGTGCTGATATACGATCTATTTTCCTAATAGAAAGAAAAATATAATCCTTAGTCAATGATGTAGGTGAAAACTTCGGGAATGAAGCCATTAGTCACTGGGGTATAGGTAGAGCAAGGATCAAATTTCTGTATTCCAGTATTTAGTAAGATAAAAGGTAACCTAGGTAGTCAAGCAGAGTAAACTAGTTTGCTCGTTTAAGATTTTTTTGAAGCTAAAAATATTTATATTTAAAAAACAGTTTTAGAAACATTCCTGGGAGCAGTTTAAGTGATAAACTATAGTTTAAAGGTAAATTTACGACTATTTAGTATTGACACTAAAGTTCTAGTATGTTCGTTTTAAGGACCAAGACTGTAGTTATAAAGTTTGCTTTTAAATTTGTCTAGGTTGAATTTAATTTAAAATTGCAACCCTTTATATCCAAACTTAATTAACTTTATAGTTGCAGAAAACTTCAAATTACGGTTTACAAATAAACGCCTAAAATAAATCCTTAACAACCATTAATAAAACAAACCCCCGAGTTGAGATCGAGATAAACAAAGTTACACACCGACGGCTTACACACACTAAAACCCAACATTATCCACAAAACACCAAAACGTAATACCTTGAGCCAGACGATGTTACTGGAGTGAAGGCGAGGAGGAGAGTGAGGAGCTGGGCCCCACCTGCCCGCCTCAACACCTCCCTCACACCCTCCTCATGGTCGCTGCCTCTCATAATACACCCCTTCTTTACCCCAGTATTTACACACTCACTCGTAATCCTCTAATAACCTTTATTTCCCTAAAGTTAACGTCGTATTAGTAGTTAATATATTTATTGTGGCCCAACAGACCCTAACTGCCGATGAGAACGAGGCAAAGTGACCATTATGGACCCGTAAGTGACACTCAGTGGCTTAGCACAGTCTTCCCACACACGCCCCAACACCCAGTGGGACAGGTGGTCCTTGGGTCGTCTAGGACAGTGTTTCCTCAACCGCAGATCTATGGACTAAATATTTCAAGGGTTACATGGAACTAATATACTGTATGGTATTCTAACATAATATGAACCCGTTATGAGTGTGTTGAACCCAATGTCTCCTGTTATCATATACACGCAGTTTTAACTGAGATTAACAGTGCAGGGCGTGTGACATGAATGTGTGTATTTGTTACACCAATGGTTACTGTAAATTTTGCTGGCTATATCTATTTTGTTGTAGGACTCCATAAGTAAGAACGTAGCTGTTGGTGGCCACTACCACCCCATACCCATCCTACGGGTGGTAGTGGACCCGATACCCATCCTACAGGTGGTAGTGGACCTCATACCCATCCTACTGGTGGTAGTGGACCCCCACGCCCATCCTAAGGGAGGTAGTGGACTCCATACCCATCCTACGGGTGGTAGTAGACCCCATACCCATCCTACGGGTGGTAGTGTACCCCATACCCATCCTACGGGTGGTAGTGGACCCCATACCCATCCTACGGGTGGTAGTGGACCCCATACCCATCCTACGGGTGGTAGTGGACCCCATACCCATCCTACGGGTGGTAGTGGACCCCATACCCTTCCTACGGGTTGAAGCTCCTCGTGTCTGCCTCAACAGCCAATACTTAACTTTGTCATACGTTATATCGTTAACATGAAAGGTCAATACAGTGATAAGCACACGTGTAGGGCCATCTCCCTTGGTCACAACTCTAAATGTATTCTTTTGTTAGTTGCCGCATTATATGTTGATATAGATACCTTGAGGTTACCTTGAGGTGCTTCCGGGGCTTAGCGTCCCCGCGGCCCGGTCGTCGACCAGGTCTCCTGGTCGATAGATGGCAGAGAGAATTATGTCAACAAATAAGTGGAGTTTTGACCAATGAAACTCGTCGTTACAAAACGCCAATTCACTCGTACTCTAATCCAATACTACAACAGAAACAAATGTGCCAATCTGCACTTTACAAGAAATTGATGTGTGGGGGGGGGGGGGGGGGGCGGTTAAAGGAATATTTTTCCTTAAGTGTACATATCTTCTTTTATTGTGCTTTCAGTGACATACAAAGGAATATTCTCCCATCCCGAGTTGGCCCAAGCGGCTCCGTCCAGATACACGTAAGATTATTTACTGAGAGAATAAGAACTTGAGGCGGAGGGAACCACTAAACGACCCAAGGACCACCTGTCCCACTGGGTGTTGGGGAAGACTGTGCTAAGCCACTGAGCGTCACTTACGGGTCCATAATGGTCACTTTGCCTCGTTCTCATCGGCAGTTAGGGTCTGTTGGGCCACAATAAATATATTAACTACTAATACGACGTTAACTTTAGGGAAATAAAGGTTATTAGAGGATTACGAGTGAGTGTGTAAATACTGGGGTAAAGAAGGGGTGTATTATGAGAGGCAGCGACCATGAGGAGGGTGTGAGGGAGGTGTTGAGGCGGGCAGGTGGGGCCCAGCTCCTCACTCTCCTCCTCGCCTTCACTCCAGTAACATCGTCTGGCTCAAGGTATTACGTTTTGGTGTTTTGTGGATAATGTTGGGTTTTAGTGTGTGTAAGCCGTCGGTGTGTAACTTTGTTTATCTCGATCTCAACTCGGGGGTTTATTTTATTAATGGTTATTAAGGATTTGGAGTAGGCATATCATTTGTAAACAATAACTTGAAGTTTTCAGCAACTATAAAATTACTGAAGCTTGGATATTAAGAGTTGCAATTTAATTTAAACTAACCTAAACAAATTTAAATGCGAACATTATAGCTACTCTAGTCTTGGTCCCTAGAACATGCCAAAGCTCTAAGTGCAGATACTAAAGTCTTATTAAACTATAGTTTTAATAACTCAAAGAATGCTTGTAAAATATCTAAAATTTTGTTTATTAAATATAAATATTTTAAGTTTCTAAATCTTAAACTAGCAAACTAGTGTACTCTGCTTGACTACCTAGGTTAGCTTTATCCTACTAAAACTCTAATTCAGAAAAATTTGATACTTGCTCCTAGCTATACCCCAGTGATAATGACTTCATTCCCGAGGCTTTCACCTACATCATTAACTGAGGATTAGTTTCTACTTTTCGTTTAGGAAAATACATTTTATTTCGGCATAATATTGCTCTTGTATAGATCAACGATTCACAGGATCTTTGAGTCTTTAGTTCCTCAAAGATTAAAAAGATGCAACCATTTTGCATACTTTAAAGCTCTTAAATATTGGTCTAGCTAGAAACTTACTTTATAATCTCTAAAAATTAGATGCTGTATTCTACGTTAACCGTGGTCTTCTACGTGGCTGGTGTGACCTGCCAATATCTACCCTTGCAGGTGTGTGGTGAGATACTTTATGCCGTAAATTGTTTTAAGTCTAGTCTTGTTACTAGACGCCTGAAGTACCGTACATATCTAGCCACTTGCCACAAATGTCGGCATAATTTTATATTTTAACATTGCAGGCTCCAGCTCTACGGCAGGACTTCGGTACATCAGCTGCTTTTAGCCACAATATTCCCAGGGACACTGGTCGCCCTCGTCCTCTGTTAAGCGCAACAATCGGGAACCTGCAGAGTAGCGCTCAAACGAGCGCAGTTAATGACGCCATTATCCTCCAGGGCCCTGGCAGCGGCCTCGTGCCTGACGCAGGCCAGCACAGAGGAAGTCTTCCTGCTGGGAGTTACTTTCCCCAAGGCTTTCACAGTGATGTAGGTCCTCTTGTCGGCCAGGGTGTCCTCGGTGGTCCGGGTCCTCTTGTCGGCCAGGGTGTCCTCGGTGGTCCGGGTCCTCTTGTCGGCCAGAGTGTCCTCGGTGGTCCGGGCCCTCTTGTCGGCCAGGGTGTCCTCGGTGGTCCGGGTCCTCTTGTCGGTAGTGGTCCAGCTACCATATTCAGCGGTGGCAGGTTGGCCCAGGTGAACGTGCCTCTGGTCGCAGTGGGCAGCACTGGATCTTCTGGAAGTGTTGTCAGACCTGTTGGCCTCCCTCAGGTCAGGAGGGTGGACGATGTCTTCCACCCCACTGTCACCCAAGTTGTCACCATCGACCGTTGCGTTACTGTCACCGACCAAGCCTTCAACAGCGTTGCAGTCACCCTAACTTCCTTCAGTGTGCAGACTGTCACCGTCGGAACACGCTCGGTAAGTTTACGGTGACACTGTTGTAATATTAAAATCATAACGCGCACATCTGCTACAAATTTTTTTACCTCTACAATACAGGTGCTACAGACGCCTGTTGATGACCGGGTCGCTCTTCAGACGTCTGTGTTTGTCCGGCCAACGTCAGTAACGTTAACGGAAGTGAAGTCTGACTTCAGGATAGTGACAGAGACGTCGCTAAGCTACGTGACCCTCGGCCACACGTCATACGTTATCAACCAGTACACCTACACCACCACGGCCACCCAGGTGTAAGTACTAGACACTTGTGCTTCGGTGATGTAATTAACTGCTATTTTGTGTTATTGAATCTTGTTTTTTATTTCAGGTTGACGTACACGGCGACGGTGGTACACACGAATATTAACACCAAGAGCACTACCTTCACCAACTACCGGACAGTGACGGACACCTTGTACGTTAACAGCGGCTACGGCTACCGTCCTCAATAAGTACTGACGTGCGACGGGTTTTGTATTGGAATTTGAGGTGGTTAGTAAAATAAATTTTAGAAGTTTAATGTATTCTTCAATTACTCGACTAGAACTTATAAATTATCAAATACAACCCATGTAAACACTTAGTGTAACTGCCTAGTCTTTGCCAAGTAAGTGCCTCTGCCGTCTGCTGACTTTAACTTTTATTAAAGCAAGAATTCTTTGAAATCCAAACTAAGCATCAGGAGTTTTGACCCTGATTAAACTCTGCCATTCGTATGTTCCTACTACCAGTTCATAATGATGGCCCTCAAACACTATAGGCAATGTTTCACAGCTCAAACTATGTAATAATCTTAGGGTATTAAGATAACCTGGTAAATAATCACTAGAGCAGATAACACTGGGAGCATGATGGCTTTAAAGGCTGAACACCACCGATGAGGTGGCACTTGTAATAAGTTATTGCTATACACGAAGGTGCTCTTCCGGATTACTTTAGCCTCCAGACTAGGCCATAGAGTTGGGTCAGTACCACCATTTTTCGCAATAAGATTGGCTAATGCTTTATCATTGGATGCAAGGTGTCATACATGGGGGTTATCTATGCTTTTAGTCTAGACCCTAGGAAAGATGCACATAATTTAACTTTCTTGTCGGCAATCTTACATTAGTACCTGAAGATGTGAACACTTTTACTTAATTCTGAACCAAGCAACACTGCCGTACTGCGTAAAGATGCATTGGAGAAGGTAGTTAAACTCTTGGGCAACTTGCTCTATTCTCCTTCCACTAGACGTTATTTTAAATGCACGTGTGCTCGGAATGCATTTACCTAAGTCAAATTATGGTGCTTACTTTCACCTGTCAAAAAAACTCGCCCGAGATACTTCATAAAGTTCTACCTGATCAGTTTTTTGTGATAGGGTACAAGTCTTCATGATCCACAAACACTAAAACGAACATACACATACGTCTGTCTGGGGAAAGACGGGGCGTTACTCCCAGTGGCAATTTCCAGGCGTAGAGGTTTGTACTGCTACAAAAGTTTTCCAGCTGTGTCAGATTCCTTCCAAACATTTGATTTCATTAGTTTCTCAGGAATTACACTTGGTAATGAACCTGGCCATTAGACACCTCTCGTCAAATGAAACCCGACAGAGCTTAGTTTACCTTCGAAACTCTTCTACCTGAAGCTGCTGCATGCCCACAATGTTCGTAGACCATCAAAGTTATGTACCTCTGTATTCAAAATGTCTGAAATGCATTCCATGAAACGAGTACGCAAGCTGTGATCCTGGAAGATCACTGGAATGGAAGCTTGTGGGTGGTAGGCCCTGCTTACTCCTCCACTTGTCCTTCTGCTCTTCGCCGTCTTGATGCTTTGCACTATGCTGGGTTGCGCCTCGGCTCTGGTGCCTTTCGTTAGACTCCCGCCCTCGGCTAGTATGTTGACACCAGTGTTCTATCTCTCCAGGACCGCCGTGATCGCTACTGTCTTTGCTATCTGGCGCGGTCCTTGCAACGTCCTTCCTGTCGTGCTTTGACTCTTATCCCTCCTGTAGTTACCGTTCCTCTTCACCACCTCCCTCTGTCTGGTTATCTCGCTTACAGGTCTTTTCATTTGTCCTTGTATTGTTCCTTCCTTGCCCCTGTGGTAGGGACCCCTTCCTAAGTTTTGTAAATCCTTGACCTGCATTACTAAAGCTATTACTCTTCCTACGGTTCTGAAATGCCTTTACCTTGAGCACTTTTCTTCTCACTCCCGCTGTGTTTGCGTCTTCACCGATGGGTCCAAGTCTGCGGACGGTTGAGGCTACCGTGTTGTTTTTTTCCTGATTGCACTTGTGTGTCGGTTACCTCTGGAGACTAGCATCTTCACAGCGGAACTTTATGCAATTCTCTCTCCTCTTCGTCTCCTGCTTTCTAGTTGACTCTTAGTGCCCTTATGGCTCTCGGGGTCCTTTTAATCCTGTTCGTCCCGTTGTCGTAGAGATTCAACATTGGCCGTTTCTTATCTCCAGTAAATTTACAGCAGCAGTTTTGCTGGGCTCCCAGTCATGTTGGTGTCTTCTTAAATGAGCGTGCGGATGCTGCCGTTAGAGAGGCTATCCACTCTTGCCCCATTTCCCGTAAAGGTATTCCTTTTTCTGACTTATCCGGTTATTCATTTCGCCATCCTTGACCGTTGGCATGGTTATTGGTTTTGTTGCTAGTTACAAACTGCGTACTCTAATGCATTGTCCCCCCCCCCCCCCCGTGACCTTCCTTCCTGCCACTGTAACCGGTGGTCGGAAATGACTAGCACGGTTGCGTCTAGGCCATACTCGCTTAATTCACGGTCACTTAATGGAGCGCTGCCCTGCTCCATATTGTCCAAATTGCATTGTCCTTCTTACGGTCGAGCACATCCTTGTTGAATGTTCCGACTTCCAGGACGAGCGTGTCTTGCTTTCCGACCGTCCCTCGCGGTCAATTGTCCCTCGGTAGAATTCTTGGCGAATCGGATGCTTTTGATATCGTTTGCCTCGTGCGTTTGTTCTAGTATTGGCATCCTTGGTGATATTTAGCGCCCTCTGATTACTCTGTACATTTGGTGCTGCATATTTTTCCCGGTTTGTGCCTTTTGATAATTATTTACTTCTGACTTTTCCTCGAACCTTCGTCCCAATACTTTAAATTAATCTGGGTTAATGCTCGGCTCTGATGCCTTTTCGTCCTGTAACCAGAACCTTTATGTTGAAATCGGCGTTCCGTCTCTACAGTATCATCTTGATTCTATTACTTTCGCTACGTAGCACGTAGATTTTATTACTTTCGTGCCTACATAGCGATGTGAAACACTTTTACAACCCGTCAGACTAAACCTTGTTTGGCGCAGACATTTATTATTTTTATTGATAACTTCTTTGTTCCAAGTTTGACAGTTTCACCAGTCTCAAACGTTGCTTTAAGACCTTTTCAAATATTTGTGCAAGGAAAAATTATAAATTATGTAGAACAATGAGACCCCCATGACTATTTCGGTGGAAGGACGTTAATTTCTTAAAATGGAAGGGCGATAATGACATGAACGCAAAATGACTTTACTTAAAGCCAGTACTCTTGCTTGGTTTACTTCTGCTTGCTAAAGTCTTAAGTTTTTAAGTGTTAATAAAAAATTGTGTGGGGTAAAAAGTACTAGTTTTAAATGAACATGCGTTGTTGACTTCCTCCTGTGAAATGAATACCCTTTAATTCTTAAGACTAATAACATGACTAATACATTCAATCAGAAAAAACATTTCCTTTAACACTTTCAACCCGTCCTCGACTAGTCAATTACATCCAGCGGTCAACCCCACAGACGCATTCATAAATTTTAACTTGCTGTTCATTCAAAACGAGAATTTTCTAGAGTGTAAATTAATATTATAATAGCATATTGTGCATATATAGGCTTATGTTAGGTGTTTAGGTTCTGTTGTCGATTATTTGTATTTGTAGTACGTGGGTGAAGCATTTATAGCGTTGTGATTCGAACAAAATTCGTCAGTGAAGCACTTGTTCCGGATATGTTTGCACTTCAGCAGTTGAGTCGTGTGTAAACCGCTTTTCATTCATAAACAGGGGGTTTGGCGGGTGCATGGAATAACTTTTGGATCTTTGTTTGGAGGACGGGCTGAACACTGTACCAATTACTAAATATCTTTAACATTAGATTTTTTTAAGGGTCACAAACCTGATGATAAACTTTAACGTGCCTGAAATCAGGTAGTTTGCCACATATCAAACACTTAAAGACGCCTTTGTGTAACTAAATTCTCACTCTCCCTGGAACTTGGTATTATATTGAAATATCGAACGTAAACTTGTATAATTATAATCATAATTTGGTAACTGGTTTTTACCCAAAACTGTACTAGCCTCGTTACTAATAATTTAATGGCCGTATCTCCAACTTCAAGAGCTTCTACATTTACATGTAAAATTTTTATCTGTAATGCTCCATGTTAATTTCATATTAATAGAATCTTGTCACTAATACTTGTTTTTAAATGTTAAGTTAGGTCATGTATTTTCTAATTGTGCAGACTTATTAGTATGACAGGCTATGGAAAGGTTATAATCTTTACTTATTGCAGACGCAGTTTCTAAGGTCTTTATTAATGACCTTGGTGTTCCACGTGGCTGTAATGACTTGCCAGTTTCTGCAGGTATGGGTTTTGGCATCCAGTCCTTGGATATTATAGTTCAAATCTGACAATATTGCTACATCTTATATTTTGAAGTAGATACATATTGGCTAAAATGTATTAATTAATGATCTTAATGTCCAAAAGTTAAAACTAAATTTCTCTTGCAGGCTCCTGGTCTTCAGAACTTGGATGTGTCGGTTGCTCTTGGCAACAGTTTTCAGAGATGCGGGTCGCCCACTACCTGAATTAAACACTACACGCTGTAGTAGCGACGCCTTCATCCTGAAAGGTCCTGGCAGTGGCCCGACGCTTAAGCTCTGGGCAGCGCCGATGAAACATTGTTCCTGGAAGTTTCTTACCCCGAGGCTTTAGCGGTGAATTACCACCTGGTGCATTCGCTGGCCAGGGTGTTCTTGGTGGTCCAGGTCCAGACCAAGTATTCAGTGGTCCAGATACTATAATAGACTGTGGTAGGTTGGGCCATGGGACCATCCCGTGGGTAGCAATGGACCTGTCAGACCTGTTTGCCTCTCTCATGTCTGGAGGTGAACGATGTCTTCAACCCCCCAATGTCACCCAAGTTCTCGTCATCGACAGTTGAATCACTGTCACCGTCCAAACCTTCAACAGTGTGGCAGTCATCCTAATATCCTTCGGAGAGCAGACTGTCACCGTTGGCACACGCTCGGTAAGCCTACGGTGACACTGTGCCATATTAAGATCATAATACGCACATCTGCATTATCTGTCGCTATATATTTCTACCTTTACCACACAGGTGCTACAGGCTCCCATTGATGATTGCATCGTTCTATGGAAGTCTTTGTCCGGCCCTCATCCGTGACGTTAACTGAAGTGAAGTCTGACTTCAGGATCGTGACAGACGTCACTAAGCTGTGAGACTC